GAGGGCAATATCTGTTTTTGGACTGAATTAATTGTTGAACTTCGCCCACTGATGTGCAGAAGTCGTCTAACTGTATATGATACAAACTCCAAGATGATACACAACCTTTAGCGCGTTCAGATAGCGGATGGGGGAATGCCAAGAACAGTTAAGTCCGCAGTTCCATTCCATAGGGACAGGATATGTCTTAGTGGAGGACATGGTGTCCCTGTCCTCCCATAGTGCACAGTTTTGGGATGAATCATAACGTAACACCCCAGAGGATTTTTGTATCTGGGCAGCTAAACCTTTTGAAAACATACAAGATGGGAAACTGTGAAACTGAACAAGAGCTTTGTCTATGATGGTTGTTTTGACATTCATTTATATCTGTTCATGCCCAAACTAAGGTTATTCTGTCTGATATGTCAAGCTATTGGAGAGGGAAAAAAACTTTTTTGAATGAGGACCAAACATTATGGCCTACATTAGTAAGAGCTTCATGACTCTTGGGTGCTGTTGTATGGACATGAATGAAAATTAATGAGTTGATAAAATTTAAATGCACTGCTAGAACATGCGTCTCTAGTATTTCCATAAGAGAATAGTAGGAAAAGTATGTTCATGTCTGAGTTTATTCAGAATATGATGCATTGTATACAAGAATATTCCAGCTGTCTATCAATGATCTATCAATTTTTTAATCTTAAAGTGATGTGTTATTCCAGTATTAGTTTTAGTAATTTTAGTAATTGTACTTTAACTTATTATATTTCAGCTAGTTGCCAAGGCAGCATTTCTCATTTTCGTTTAGTTTATGTAAGTTTAAGTTTTTAATTTAACGTTTATCATTTTATTTTATTACAGCTTTATTTCACTTAACAAACCATTTTTAATAGTCAGTTAACAACAACACTGATCCATACAATGAAAGTCAATGGGATCAAATGTTGTTTTGCACCCCACTGACTTTCACTGTATGGACAAAAACAGTCAAAATATTATTTTTTTTTAAATATCTTTCTGTGTATGTGTGTGTTCCACAAAATAAAGTAAGTCATACCGGTTTGAAACAACATGAAGACGAGTCAGGGTGAGCTATCCATTTAATATTTGTTTGTTGTTTGTTATAGTTTAAAATGAGGAATTAATAAGGTCCTAATGCCTCGGACCACAAAAGGAAATAAAAGCATCATTGGATAGAAGCCTTGCTTTTTGAGGACAGCTTCCTGGCATTCATTAGTTGTATTGCTTTTTAAAGTGAAGTGTCGTGCAGTGCCCGTTCTGTGTCATTGTGATTGAGGTACAGTGCATTCTCTTCTCCTCCAGTATCACACATGCCAGTTTGTGGAACACCTGCATGGGCTTTCTGAGCATCGAAAAAAATGTCACATGATAGACATTGTCTATTCTGTGATGTTTTGACTGACTTCACTAATACCAGACATGCATAGACCTCAGCAGGCAATAGAAAATGTTTAAATATCAGCATTATAGCATTGGTTTGGATATGAGGGATACGAGTCCATGTAGCCTCCCCAACCCCCACACTTCCTGTACCCTCTCCCATGTGAGCCCTGCAGCACCTGCAAGCACGGGCAGGAAGCCAGCACAGGTGCTAACGTAGCATCGTTCGCTCGTGGCTTGATTGGCGTGCCAGCAGCTATCAAACCCTGAGAATCTCACACTCGCACACTTCCTCCCTGTCTGAGTCTTTGACATGGTGAGCACTGCAGAGTGCGGAGATCCATCATTATATTACACAGCGAAACTCCGAGACAGGTGTTACATGTGTCTGTGTGGCTTGTTAAAGAGACATTTGCTATTAAGTGATTGGACTTCATTATGCTCCCATTATGCTAACTTGCTAAATCGGCTCTGGTATATTTATTATATTTCAGTGTTATTTTAGTATCATTTATATACTATTTTTGAAAAATTTTATAAACATTTAGAATTTTCTTTTACTTTTATATTTTCAGTTGTTTTTTAATTTGTTTAAATGTGTGGCTTGTTAAAGAGACATTTGCTATTAAGTGATTGGACTTCATTATGCTCCCATTACGCTAACTTGCTAAATCGGCTCTGGTATATTTATTATATTTCAGTGTTATTTTAGTATCATTTATATACTATTTTTATATTTTCTTTTACTTTTATATTTTCAGTTGTTTTTTAATTTGTTTAACTAAATAAATCAAATTAATTGTAAATAAATAGATAAACTGTTAGTTTTTGTTTATTACAAATATTTCAAAATAGTTTTAGTAATTTTAGTACTTCAAATTTTTGTTTAGTTGATTTTTTTTAAAATATATTCTTATATTTATATTTAATTTTATTTAAGCTTTATTTCAATGAATACAGATATTATTTAAAATAGTTTTTGTAGTTTTAGTTGATGATAACAACATTGTATTTTATTGTATTTGTATTAGGATATTATAACCCTAACCCTATTTTCAGTTTAGTTTTAAACCACAGCATTATTATTAACATTATTTTTTTTTTAAATCATTTATAGTTTATTTGCCTATAATATTTAAAACATTTACCCTTGGAATTAATCAAATGAATAAGATCATTGATTTAAAATTATGTCATTTCCCCACATTATTTTCATGCTAACGTAAAAATGTATAAATAAATACTCCTGTGCAGGCAGCTCTTGTAGGTGATGAGCATTGAGGGATACTTATTTTTTCTGTACTTGTTCAAGGCAGTTGAATAACCATCAACCTTTATTTTCATCTGACAGAAGTATTTGCTTCCAGGAATATGTCTAGAGTTGTAGCAGAAAATCCCTGGAATTTTTTTGTTCGCGGATGGGTCTGATGAAGTGCACACTATTGCTGTTAAAGCTTTCTTGTCACTTGTCTTTGTCTGACTGTTCATTTTTCTGGTCTTCAGTGTCATCTTCTTTCATTCCCCCCACCCCCATCCTCTTCTGGCGTTCCTGGAAAGCCTCTTTCTTGCTGATACCATCACTTATTCATCCAGCTTCACTCTATTTTATTTTATTTTTTTCATCAGGCAACTCTAGTGCTGTGGCCGTATTTCCAGAATTGTGTACTTTGTCCAGCAGGCCTATCTGCTCGATCATCTTCCCCTCAGGCCACAGCAACTGAGCTGACAAGCAGAGCCCTCCCCCATAGCACATGAGCTCATGATCACTGTTGCCAACTCTCACAAGATAAATAAGCAACCGCAACTTAAAAAACAAGCCCAAAACAAGCCCAATATTTTTAATAAAGAAACGAAGTTGCTTGTCAGATTTCCCTAACAAGCAACCATTTTTTTTTAAATAAGCCCAAAAAACTGCGACCCGGGATTTTTTCACGCAACTTTACAAAAAAACAAGCCCAAAGTCGCGTATAATACGCGGACTTGACAACTATGCTCATGATGTGAAACAGGGGCCTGTTAATACCTGAGCAGCTCTCGTTTTCTAGGGATGGCTATTTTTACTGCGCCGGAGAGAAAATCACCTCTCAAGCACCAATTTGAAATCTTCAGTCTGTGAACTCAGTGAGCCAAGCTGTAAGGTTTCCACTTTAACACTCTAAGGTATTATGTTCTAATGGAAAATGTTTCTTTCTAGATGCCTGATAAACAATACTTGATGAAGGTCACTTGACTGATATGTTTTAAAATCCATATTAAAATTTGATTTGCAGGCTTTCGGTGTGCATGATTCATCTATTTTTGTGAGATATTTTGACAAAATAGAATATTAAAGACATAAAAATAGAAATAAATTCAATGATTAAGATTCGACTCCTCTAATTTAATTTTTTAATTCAGTTTCCTTCTTTAGTTGATACATACACTGCTGTCCAAAAGTTTGAGGTCATAAGTTGTTTTAATGTTTGTGAAAGACGTCTTCTGCTCACCAAGGCTGCATGTTTTTGATCACAAATACAGTAAAAACAGTAATATTGTAAAAAAAAAAAAAAAAAAGATTACGATTTAAAATGACTGTTTTCTATTTACATATATTTTAAAATGCTATTCATTCCTATGAGGCAAAGCTGAGTTTCCAGCATCATTACTCCAGTCTTCAGTGTCACATGATCCTTCAGAAATCATTCTAATATGGCGATTTGGTACTCAAGAAACATTTCTTATTATTATCAATGTTGAAAACAGTTAATGTTTTTGTGGAAACCTTGATACATTTTTGCAGGATTCTTTGATGAATCGAAAGTTCAAAAGAACAGCGTTTATGTGAAATACTTATTTTTTGTAACAATGTAAAAGTTTCACTTTTGATTTGTTTGTCATCCTTGCTCAATAAAAGTACTAGTTAAAAAATAAATAAAAATAAAATACTGACCCAAAACTTTTGAACAATAGTGTATATACGTTTGGAATCCTTGTGCACTCAAATTGCACCATTTATCCTTCACAATTATTCTTGAAAGCAGAGCTCACTGTTAGGGAGCTCCTTTACTCACCCTTTTCATAGAATTTGTGTGCGTGTGTGTGCGTGTGTGTGTGTGTGTGCTTTTCTTGGAAACACATTTAAAAACCGATTTGTGAACAAAAAAAACATTGATTTAGCCCATCAAATAAGCAGTAAAAAATCCAGATGTAGAAAAAAACTACCTAAATTTAAGGAGCACCCCAGCATGTGTGTTTTCTGTGAGGGTGAACATAAAAAGTGCTTTTGATTCCAACATTGCACTTTTGTTGTAGTTTTTCTGATTTTAATTTTTAGGAAAATAAATAAAATAAAAATAAATGTGTCACCATACCATAGAGGATTAAATATTGATCATTGTTATCTAGGATGGCTGTGCCACATTATCTGGGTCATGTCTGAGCAGCTTTATTGCTGTCCTGTATGGTCCAGGGGTTGTGTTTCATCTCAGCCCTGAACACTTGATTTAGGATGTGGCTCCTTCAGCCATCCGACAACACTGTCTGCAGCTCATTAGCCAGAGACTTAAAACACTTTTATATGTTAAGCAAAGAGAGGCAGTTAACCTGTGTTTCCTGTTTTCTGTGTCCCTATTCAGGATGCATCCATAGCACATCGCTTCCACTTGATGAGGGAGAAACATCCAGAGAAGTTTAACAGCAGGTAAGAAAACATGCATGTTTGTAAATGAGCATATGGAGAGAAGACAAATGGAAATTTCTATAAAAATGGTGCAGATGAATGACACAAATGAGAAGAAAGGACGTTACGCTGTGACATCTGAGAAGTCACTAAAACCTTTACCAAAACCTAGTTTCTGTTCGAACCAGTCATGGTAACCGATGAGCGAAACTACATTGTTTTCTATTTCTGCTGAGTCATGCCGCATGGCCCCGCCCACAGCAAAAAAAATAATTTAACCAACATTTTGGACTTTTCAAGTGAGGTTTCACTTTACTGCGTCAGAAGCAGATTGCCACTCTTTTCCTATTTGAACATCTTTGACTTTGTCTGAACACACTTTTTACACTTGGCATGAATATAAACTCAAGCCTTTTCTCTATCAATTTGGTGTCCAGAGATCAAAATCATTTCAAATGGAAGTTTTATAATTTGACCTTCAAAAAAAGACTTATTTTTAAGCACAAAAAAACAAACCCTGATGAATCACTGTTCTGTGTTATTCGTCTCTTCAAGCTGCCTGTGTCTGTGTCAGTTCTAGCACATTGGCGACTGGCTGACGGTTTCAATTTCTTTGCTAGCTTGAGTAGAGTCAGTTTGAATGGAGTTTCTTAATGAAATGTTATGCAATGTGTCTCTGCTTCAGTGGTGGAAAATAAACTGGTCAGTCATGTATCCTTTAGTGAAGGCCATTTAGATTGGTAAAATAGAAATGATACAGTCTAATTTGGACCCTCTACTATTATCTCCACTCAATTGGATCATTTGAAGTAGGAGGAGAGAGAAATGCTTGAGTTGAGCAGGTAGAATGAATCAGGATGACGTTAGCAAGGCAATTCAGCATGAGAAAGGATAGCAGTGAAATCATCATTGCTCAAAGATAATTGTAGTTCACAATAAGCCTCCATCAGTCTTCCAGCAATAAAAGGGTAACTGCTAAAACTGACCCTAGAACAGCACTTTGGTTCGACTCTAACAGCTCCATAAAATATGATGTTTTATCTTAAGGAACAGTCCCTCAGAGCCCCTGGTGCACTTTACAGTAGCCGTTCTGAGCTCCCTTTGATGTGGATCTCTTTCAAGTCCGTTCTACTGTTGTCTGTTCTCTCTTGGTTGATGCCTCTATTGAGAAACGCTGTTAAAAGCCCGTGTAGCCCTTGGCCGCAAAGAATGGGGCTTTTTGTTAAGCGTCATTGGTCCTGCTCAGTAAGACTCCAGGCATTTTAGGTTGCCATTCAACTCAATAAGGCAGCAGAAATATTGAGATTTATTTATTGGTTGCATTATCTGATGTGATTGGACAAGCAGTGTTCCACTGATAACTTAATACATAATTAATACAAATACATAATACATACATTTGAACTAGGGCTGCACGATAAATCGCATGCGATATTTAATGCGCATCTTGTCAGTAAAGCCGTTTAGATTCATTTAAGAATGCTGAAAAAGACATATATCACTGAGTCCCACATTTCTTTCAACATTGGCAGTAATAAGAAATGTCTCTTGAGCAGCAAATCAGCATATTAGAATGAGTTTTTAAAGAATTATTAGATACTGAAGACTGGAGTAATGATGCTGAAAATTCAGCTTTACCATCACAGGAATAAATTGCTTTTGAAAATATATTTAAATAGAATTAAATAAAAAATTTTATTTAAATTTGTTATCATACTGTTACTGTATTTTTAATCAAAGTATGTATGTACACTCTAAAAAATGCTGGGTTATTTCAACCCAACTTTGGGTCAAATATGGACTAACCCAACCGTTGGGTTAAATTTTTACATAAAATTTTTAACCCAAAAGTTGGGTTAGTCCATATTTGACCCAAAGTTGGGTTGAAATAACCCAGCATTTTTTTGAATGTACCTTTTTAAAGTTATCTATATACGTCAATATGTTATCAGCCATAAAATGAAAATAATATCATAAATATCTTTCTTAAAAATATCAGCCAGAACTTTAATATTAGTGCATCCCTGCTGTTTGCTGAAAGCTTTGCAGGCAAGCTTTCAGTTGAAACAAACAGTAAAGAGTCCCTGTGCTCACTCTTGGAGTGCCAATTAGATTAAAAGACCAGAACTAACTGTTGTATAATGCCGTTAGTATAATACATAAAGTGATTATTAGCTCTTTAAATTCATGTTAGGCATTTTCTAGTGTCTTTTCATTAACAGAATCTGTAAAACTGTTCCACGAGAATTGTTTGTGTGGCAGTGACATGTACTGAGCTCATATTTATGATGCGACAGAGAATGTGTCCTGTATACAGAGCTCTGCTGTAAAAATGCTGGATGCTGGGATTATATAAAGATGGATGACGCCCACCGTCACACAGTTTTCTATATTAGAGTGAGAACCTGTCATGGCAGCACAGCTTTTTTAATGACTTTTGAAAATAAGTCCCTAATGACTCATACACGATCTGAATTATGGATCCTGCCTGGCTGAATTAACTAGTTAATGTTTCAGTCGTTCATAATTCATGCACTTAGATTTCCACAGCACATTCAAAGTGTTGCAATGTGATGCCAAACATCCTGTGGTTTCTCCACAATGAGGGGTTTCTAGACTTCTTCGTTGCAAGTTTCAGTCAAATGTGGCTCATTTGCAATTTATCTTTAAATGACTGATGGACAGAGAGTCCAAAATAAGAATAAATGGTCACCCAATATAAAACACTGCCAAACCAAATGCTTTATCTGCTTTGCTTTGTTCTGCAAATTTAGAATAGCCAGCCAGTGCATCTGTCAGTCTATGGCTTTCTAATGAGGGCTGTTCTCAGTGTTTTTAGGATTTGAGAATGCACTCTCAGAGGCAGCGTGCCACCAGATGGTACATAAATGATGGTTGCCATGGTGTTGCATGATTTATCCTCATTGAACCTGTTTATGTGACATGTTTCAGTCCACCTGTTACACTTCACTCCCATGAAAACAGTGCTTTTAGTTTTAACAGGCACTCAGAACAGCATAATGATGCACTTGGTTAAAAATTCAGTTTAAAATCAAATACAAATTCCATTCAAGTGTGTTTATATGTGTGTGCATGTGTTAACATCCACACGCATTCCCACAGTGACATATGATACGCGGGTAGGGGATATGTGTGACTTCTTTCGCTTCGGTGCTCAGTGATCTGCATCAGCAGTCGGTCTACAGGGAACCCGCAGCCCAGGTGCTAATGACCACGAATGCTCAATGGACCTGCGCCTCTGTGTCCGCTCCTCCCAACGGGGCAGCCAGAGGAAGTTTTGGATTAAGAGGTGTCAAATTGCCCCACAGAAAAGAAAAAAGACCTTCAAGATGCCTTTGTCTTTTCGATTAAAATAACAATGACGGCTCTGTGGACTGTCAGTTGCTCAAGCATACAATGGCAAGAAGATGAGAGGCAGGGCTGAACACAGAGTGGAGGCACATGAGGGGTCTTGTTTCTCCTAATATCATGGTGGATTTCATTCCCACACTTTATTCCTTTGCTTTCATTTTTTTTTTTTCTGTTGAAGACCAATTTCAAAGTATTTTATTGGCTTAATTTTGTAAATGCAAACAGAAAAAGAAAGGTTCTGGTGCCAAAAAAATAAAATATATATATACAATAAAAGAAAATAAACATTCAACATTGATGACATTAATGAACATTAAGAATCTGGTAATTTGGTACTCGCCACCACTATCAGTAGAAAAATACAGATAAAAATAAATGATCTGTAATCTTTTTTAAGGTGATCTAATGTAGTTTTATTATGTGTTTAAAGTAGTAACAATAACTGTTGTTACATTTTTTTCACAAATAATATCCCTAAATAATAATATTGTATATTCCACATTTATATGACATTGGTGCTCACCATTAAATCTACTACTCTCTCTTGTTGTTATGGTAAAATTTGTGAAACACCTCAGCTGAATTATTCATAATGACAAAGATTTGGATTGGTCTGAATGAATGCTTCACAATTACATTATGATAACTCTTTGTATGCTGCAGTCAGTAAGGGGTGGGGAGTGCATTAAAACACATTTATTTCTGCCTCAAATAGCCATTGATTGATCATCAGCGTGTAACTCCGCATGCAAGTGGCTGACAGGCAAGTCAGTTAGACTACTGTATTTTCACATTGATCTGTGAAAAGCGTTGGGCTAGTTGAGGTCGGCTAGATGTCTCTTTTTACTCTGCAGCATGTCATTTGCACCATAAAAATCAAATATGACATTAAACATGCCATTACCGGCTGCACTTTGTGCTTTGTCTGCTATGGCTGTTCATTTGTCCTGCGGTAAAACGTTGTTATCTTTTATCTTCTTTTTTTGTTTTCACTTTTACAGCCGTGTTCTTTGCAGACACTTTACAAGTTCATACGACATAGTAAATCTGTTGTGTGTGATTTTGCTAAAAGACACTTTTGCAGAGAATTTAAATTTTTATTAATGATTATACTCTGTCAGTTTTCAAATATATCATGTCTTAATAACAGAATTTGATAGTTTAATGTCATTGGTTTAAAGTTGGATGTAAATCTTGCATTATGTTATACTGTAGACAGATAGAAATTAAGATATTATTGAATGAATAGAAAGAAGACTTCTTTCATGAATTTATCCCCACCAGCCTCCAATCAACTTTTTCTTCACGGTTAAATTTGTTGATTTACGTAATAAATGTCACGAGATGAAAATGTACGGTTACGACACCACCTCCGATCACGTGACCGACAGAGGAAAAGGCCAAATATGGTCCTGACCCAAGCTGCCGTCTGTCTGCCCAGCATGTGAGCATGTGTTTCATAACCCCTAAGAAGATGTCTAGGTTATGTCTATGTGAGTAAGGATGTTTGTGTGCTCTGTGTGTGTGCGTTGGCCAATTGATTTTGTATTTTAGTGCAAGGACCGTATGTGTGCGTGGGTGTGCGTGTGCGTAAATCCCTCCGCGTGCACATATGTGTGTGTGCCGGGACTCAGCAGAAACCCAGTGTG